TTCGATCCCGACATCAGGAAGATCCCCTGGAGTAGGAAAGGGCAACTACTGCGATATTCTCACCTGGGAAATCCCATGGACAGAGGAGCCTGGTGGGCTATGGTTAAGTGGTTGCAAAGAGTCAGACACAACTGAGTGACCGAACACGAGCGTGCATTCTGCTGCCAGCAGCGTCTGGGACTTCAGGTCGCTCTACACCCTTGCCAGCACCTCTGCACCTTTTCATTCCCACTACTCGGGTAGGTACGGAGCAGCCTCACTGCAGTTCTACTTCGCACTTCTCTGACCAAGAGCAAAAACCGTTAAATGCCTGTAAGGGACAGAGCGATAGGATCCATCACGCAGAAGAGAGGCGGAGGGTCTAACCCGGTGGCCCTCACAGAGAGCCATGCTGCAGCCTGCAGCCCAGGGGAACTCTGGCGATGCCTGGCTGTCACAGCTTGACGGGACTCCTGGCATCTAGTGGACAGAGGCCAGGGATGCTGCCAAACACGCTACAATGCACGGGAGCTTCCCAGAGCCAAGAATCATCTGACCAAAACAGTAGCAATGTCACTGCTGAGAAACCATGATCCAGCTCAGCAAACCCTTCCTGGAATCCTTCTCTTCAGTCAGGCAATCAATGTAATCGATGGCTGGCGCAGCTCAAGAGGCCCACTGCCTACTGCCTTCAGCTTCCCCAAGCCGAAGGGACAGAAAGACACGACTCTTACCACATGCTGGGCGTGGCACATGCTGGAGCCCTAGGTGCTCACATAGCTTGTTTCTTGTTAGAACCTCACAACTACAGAAAGGAATTAAAGAGCCTCTTGATGAAGGTGAAAGAGGAGAGTGAAAAAGCTGGCTTAAAACTCAACATTCAAAAAACGAAGATCACGGTGTCGGTCCTATCACTTCATGGCAAGGAGATGGGGAAACAGTGACAAAGTTAATTTTCTTGGGCTAAAAAATCACTGTGGACAGTGACTGCAGCCATGAAATTAAGAGACGCTTACTCCTGGGAAGAAAAGTTATGACAAGCCTAGACAGCACAAAAATCAGAGCCATTACTTTGCCTATACAGGTCTGTATAGTCAAAGCTAAGGTTTTTCCAGTAGTCATGTACGGATATGAGAGTTGGACCATAAAAAAGGATGAGTGCCAAAGAATTGATGCCTTTGAACTGTGATGCTGGAGAAGACTCTTGAGAGTCCCTTGGACAGCAAGGAGATCAAACCAGTCAATCCTAAAGGAAATCAGTCCTGGATATTCATTAGAAGGACTGATACTGAAGCTGAAGTTCCAATACTCTGGCCACCTGATGTCAACAGCCGACTCATTGGAAAAGACCCTGATGCTGGGAAAGATTGAAGGCAGGAGAAGGGGATGACAGAGGATGAGATGGTTGGATGGCATCACCGACTCAATGGACATGAGTTTGAGCAAACTCTGGGAAATGGTGAAGGACAGGGAAGCCTGGTGTGCTACAGTCCATGGGGCCACAGAGAGTCAGCCAGGACTGAGCGACAGACAATAAGTATCACCGTTTTATGAATGAGGAAACAGATATCAGGCTGAGAAGTTTGTCCAAACTCACACCAAGAGTGTAGATTTGGGATCGGAAGCAGCGGTTTTCCACTCTCCCCAGGGTCTTACTTTTAACCAAAAGTAAGAAGAGTTTTTGAAGTCCACAATGACTGTTAACTTGCAAGGGATGAGTTTTACGGTAGATTTGCAAAAAGCAGCTGAATATAAGGTAGGAAACAAGATCCTTTGCAATGTGGAGTTAACATGCATCTGCAAGAAAACTATACTTTAACAACTGTAAACAAATTCATCTTCTTTACCACACTGTCATCTCTTTAAAGTGAGACCCATGTCTTATTTTTCTCTGGATATGCCTCAGTGCCTATGGGATGCCCCCAGTGGCTCAGTGGGTAAACAATCTGCCTGCAATACAGGACACACAGGAGACAGGGGTTTGATCCCTGGGTGGGGAAGATCCCTGGAGGAAGAAATGGCAACCCATTCCAGTATTCTGGCCTGAAAAATCCCATGGACAGAGGAGCCTGGTGGGCTACAGTCCATGGGGTCCCAAAGAGTCAGACATGACTTCACAACTAAGCATGCAGTGCCTACAAGAGTATATATTTATATTTTCCTAGATGAATTACTGACTTAAAAAACACCAAAGAGGGATGAAAAGGTCTTCAAAAAGCAAGCAGATGGTTCAGATTTTTTTTCCCCACAAAGTCAACTCTATTTTGGAAATATGAAATAAAATGAAATGTTTTGGTTGAAGACATTCTATTAAATCAAGTAAAGGTCAATACCATCAAATTCTCTTCACAACACAAGCAATTCAGTTTTTCCAAGGATGGATTTGCCAGCATGGTCCTGCCATCATCCTTTGGATGTTCCCTACTGATGCTCTGTCTGTGAGGACATCTCAGTCACAGGCTCACCAGAAATCCAGCCACTGGAAGGAAGACAGGGTCTCAGCCCTGGCCGAGCATTAGCGTCACCAGGAAGCCCTGGAAGCCATGGATGCCAAGCCCCAAATCTGGCAGAGGAAATCTGGGGTGGGGCCCAGATAGACATATTTTGAATTGATACCCAGAAAAGAACTACACTCAGTACAGTCTGAAAATAGGTCCACACGTCCGGCCCCTGAGGTCCTGGAGCAACGCCCTAGGGGTTCTGAACGGAGCTTCACACCCGCTGCCTTCCACACCTCCCAGAGCTCGCCGCATCCCAGTGAGCTACCTGTGGGCATGACCAGGGGCGACATGAGTCACTCAACCCTAGAAACAGCTCAACTCCCTCCCGGCGGGGAAGCGATTCCCTCACTTAGATTCACACAGCTCCAGTCCTGCTTGACGCGGAAGGGGCGAATGGACCCCTCGTTCTCAGCCTCTCTCCTTAAACTAGGGGTGCTCTGTGGTCAGAAAGGACTAAGATTCTGTCCACTAGCAACACTCAACGAACGCCAGACACGTGCACGCCATGACCCCTCTTTATCCCCAGGTGGGCAGGGACGTGCGGTGTGCGGGGTCCTGGGAGACGGAGCACCCCGTGGCGGAGCAGAGCAGGGTCGCCGGTCCCTGCATCCGGCTCCGGCTGGTGACGGTGGGTTGTCAGGGGCTCGAGGCACCTCCCGCCAGAGGATGCAGAGCCCGGGGGCTCCTCTGACCGAGCCCCCTGCCCCCGGTTTTCCGAACCACTGCTTCCCCAGCACCTGACACAGTGCCCGGCACCGGGTAGGTGAATGATTTGCTTAAAGAACCAACGAGAAGAACTCTAGAACCTAAGCTGGGCACAGGAAAGCCAGGAGGAGTGGGACACCCCAAATTCTGGGTGCAGTCTAGGGGCCTCTGGGGCAGAGAGCGTAGACAGTTGGGCGGCTCTGCAGAACCAGGCTTCTAAGCAGGGCTAGCGGGACGGGTGACATCCCGGCCTCCCAGGGAAGCGCTCACTGCCAACTACCGCGGGGACAGGAACCCCAGGCCTGGGGAGGGAATCGGACCCTAAGGAAGGCGGGGTGCTGGGACCAGCCAAAGCAGGAACGGGCTGTGGGCGGACGCCAGGGCCACCTCCAGGTGCAGCCAGCAGTGGTTCCCCTCCGCTAACGGAGGAGACGGAAGGTGGAAGCTGAGGGGGTGGGGCGCCCCGATTTCCTGAGCTCTCGGAACCTCACACAGGTCTCCCAGCATCAGAGAGCACCAAGCCCAGGGTCAGAACTGCCAGGGTCTTCTCCTGCTCGGACCCACCATCACAGGGTGGTGATCAAGGAAGTCTCTCTCCCGGCCTCGGTCTCCTCATCTGCAAAAGGGGTAGATGGAAGCTCCCCTGCCCCACACAGGCCCGGCGGTCACCGCAACCCACCACCAAAAGGTGTAAAGTGGTGATGACGGCCACCACGCTTCCTAAGGATGATGCTTCCTCTGGTCCCACGAGGAGAAGCAGGCCTGTTCAGGCAAGACAACGCCCTGCCCAGCCCCAAAGAACCTCAAACAGAAACAACATCCATAAAAAAGAAGGGGGAGCAAAGGTCGTTTTATTGCCAGTTGGCCCTTTCCTGCAGCTGAAGGAGGCCGGCCTCTCTGAAAGGAGAAGCAGGTGCTTCCCCCGGCACCTCAGTAATTCAAGCCGGACAGGGACCTGGGTAGGAATCAGCACACACCTTTTCTGTAACTTTTCAAAGACGATCATAATGCGCACTCAGTTAAATGAAGCACTCTCACCCTACAAGCTGTCAAATACTGGAAAATCACACAGACTACTCAAGCGCCCATGGATTACTTAAATGAAACAAAAGCAGGTCCTGCAGTCGGCATTACAAATAGGGTCCAGGACTTACTCTGCAGCCGGCAACAAGATGCGCCACGTCTGCCCACACCCGCAACCCCAGGCCTCCCCTCCCCTCTCCCAGCTGCCTGCACCCCATTTTATAAACACGCTCCTCTCTTCCACCTCTAACAGTATCTGAGTTAGCCCTAAAGTTCTCAGGTTCTGGACAGTTCCTCTCTTTACCTTCTGCCCTCACCCCTGCCCAACCGCTTTCATTTGCAATCTCAAAAAGAGTTGCATATTTTATATACTAAATGATGGTGATGATGAGTTAGGGTTGTTTCCACTGAGCTCATGAGTTTCCTTTGGTTTTTCTTACTGAAGGGATGTGGAGAGTGAATGAGAGCTGTACCTCCAGGGCAAAAAACGGGAAAAAATAGAGAGAGAGAGAGAGAGAAGGGAGGGGAGCATGCTGAGGACATTTTTCATCACAACAATAGGTATGAAGGATATTTCGTTTAGCTCATTTTCTTGACGTGTGAATTAACAACAGCAACAACAGTGAGAGGCCTCAAGTGCCCGTTCTACATTTCTTTGGGGAGAACACTTGGGACTATCTAGAAAAATCTGGCTCTTCTCTACAAAAAGAATGAGAAGAACTAAAATTCCCAGTTGTGTCTATTTCCAGGGGAGGCTAGTTACCCGAGGGTTAAGCTGCATAACCACTTTACCCGTGAGAGTTTCGGGTATAACCCTGTTGCTTCTGAAAGCTTTGGAGTGTTCTGGGACACTCTGGTTACTCGAGGACGGAAGGGGCAGGCACGGTCCTGCGCCCTGGGCTGCCGAGAAGAGAAATACTGCGATGCTCGTGGCAGCAGTGCCGATTTGCACTGCATCGCTGTCGATGCTCCCTCCTGCTCTCTCTTCCCCATCTGCCCAGCAGAACAAGTTTTAAGAAGAGAAAGGGAGCCATGAGAACGCACGCCATGGCACGGGCACAGTTAGTGGCGTCCACCCCACAGCACTGGGAAAGACCGCGCCGCCGGGAAGGACTGAGGGCAGGAGAGGAGGCGGCGACAGAGGGGCAGATGGCTGGATGGCGTCACCGACTCAACGGAGAAGAATTAGAGCAAACTCCGGGAGACGGTGAAGGACAGGGAAGCCTGGCGTGCTGCGGTCCACGGGGTCACAAAGAGTCAGACACGACTGAGCGGCCGAACAACAACCCCAGAGCAACACCCGGATACCTTCCTCTCTTTGCAGAGCCGCCGAAGGTCCAAGTCCTCAGGGCACAGTCTAAACCACTTCTCGTGTGGCCTGCAACCACCACGAAAGGCAGCCGGCACATCTTCCCCTGGAGGCATGACGCGCACAGCAGAAACCTTCCTCCTCTTACTGAAGCAAACCTTCCAGTCACCCTCTGCCAGAGCGCTGCAGTGCCTTTTCTGTTTTGACGTCAGGATTAATGAGAGAGTCAGCTGCCAGCTTTAACAGACTGAGGAGGCCACAGCAGAAAAAGAGCACATGAACTTTCTGGACCTTTCCTCTTGTTCATCTGGCACGTGGCCCACTCTTCTTCACGGAAGAGAAATCACACCGTCAGTTCTCACTTGTAAATGCACTGAACGCAAAGAAAACAGCGTCTGACCAAGCTGCCCAACAGGCACTTATGAAAGGTTTAAATGCCCATAGTGTACGCATTGTACATGAATGCGAAAATACTTTGAAGACTCAAAAAGTGCTATTTGGCTGTTGATAGAAGACACTACACAAAATGTACCACCCAGAATTCTATATTATTATTATTACCTCTAGTGAGAAGAAGACTAGTTCTTCTTCTATTGCTGTTACTTCCAGTAAGAAGAAAAGAGGGTTGCTGAGCCCCTGAGGCAGAGATGTCTACCAATGTTCTCCATACACACCTGACTCCTACCACCAAGTCTTAGATACAAATTCATCCTGCCCCGGGTCATGAAAGAGGTAAAAATCCACAAGAGAAACCCAACCCAGATACAAGTTTCATGACTGCACGTACTGTGTGCTTGTCTTCAGAACCCTAGATATGCAGATACACAGGAAGCAAGACACCCAATAAACAGTATGGACAGAACTTCACATTAACCCAGGTACCACTTCACTGGCCTTGCAGAGGATGGGTCCAGAGATGAAGACCATACAGTTCCTGTCCTTGAAGAGCTCATAACTAGGAACAGACCACAAGAACTACAGACAAAAGTAGAAGGCAGAGGAGGGGAAAAACCTATTTTCTGAAGAGACTTAGGTGCGAGCTTCATAAAGAAAGTGGCATTTGTCCGGACCTTTAAAAGAACAGAATTCCAAAGCAGGGTTGAAGAGACAAGGCCTTCTAAACACAGTACTTCACTAGATACACACAAAATACTTGATACAACTCATCGATCATTCCAGAGGCATATGAAGTTAACTTTGATTATTATGGACAAGGTGACTGAAGTGATAAAAAATATTTCACAAGTACAATCCTGGCAGCCAGGACTTCATCAGAAGCAGGTTCTAATCTTGGTTCTGCTAGGAACTACCTCTGTGAAGTGAGGCATATAACTGAACCCCTCGGGTCTAGTTCTCCGTCTCCAGAAAAGGGGGGTGATGATAGCACCCCCAGAAGGCGGCTCCTCCCAAAGATGCCAGCACTCTTAGCAGGGTACTAAACACAGCTTGCTCTGGTCACGCATGGCTTTCCCTCCCCTGCAGACCTACAGCTTCCTGGGGATCCCTGCTTACTCTCAAACACTTGGCACAGTGCTCCTACTAGCAGACATCCCATAAATGCCGTATTCTCCTCCCTCCACTGAATTTCTATTTACTATGAAAATACATTCCTTTGTTCTTCAAATTGAAAACCTGAGTTTTACCCAGCTCAGGTGAGCATGTCTCTATCCCGTTAGGATTTTTTGTTTGATTAATGTTACAGGTTTAAAATATTTATGTGGTGGTGGTTTAGTCGCTCGGTCACGTCTGTTCAGATCCTGAGCAAGAAGGGCTTCCCCGCTGGCTCAGAGGTAGAGAATCCACCTGCCAATACAGGAGGCGTGGGTCCCATCCCTGGGTTTGGGAGATCCCCTGGAGGAGGAAATGCTACCCACTTTAATATTCTTGCCCGGGAGGTCCCATGGACAGAGGAGGCTGGCAGGCTACAGTCCCTGGGGTCACAAAGAGTCAGACACAGCTGAGACGCACACAGTAAGTGAGAAGGACCTGAGCACACGGATTTCACAGCATCAATTCCTGCCAGACTGGAAGAGAAGGACCCTCGGGATGGAGGCTGGTAACAAAGTGTTCTAAAGCAGCTGCCTTCAATCTTTCCCGGCATCAGGGTCTTTTCCAATGAGTCAGGTCTTCGCATCAGGTGGCCAAAGTATTGGAGTTTCAGCATCAGTCCTTCCAATGAATGTTCAGGACTGATTTCCTTTAGGATGGACTGATTTGATCTTGCAGTATAGCTTTGACTATACGACAAAGGTCAGTATAGTCAAAGCTATAGACAACACGGGCCTTGGAAGACAAAAGAGTTGGACACAACTGAGTGACGGACACCTTCACTTTTTTCACTTTCACAGTCAAAGCTATGGTTTTTCTAGCAGCCATGTACAGATGTGAGAGCTGATGCTGGGAAAGACTGAGGGCAGGAGGAGAAGAGGGCGACAGAGGATGAGATGGCTCGATGCCATCATCAATTCAGTGCACATGAGTTTGAGCAAACTCCCACAGAGAGTGAAGAACAGGGAAACCTGGCGTGCTGCAGTCCATGGGGTCACAAAGAGTTGGACATGACTCGCGACTGAACAACAACATAAGAAAACACACCAGAGAAATCACAGTAAAAGAATTTCAGATTTAGGAACCAGCATTTCTCTATGAGACTTTAAGAAAAAAAAGGTATAACCTCTTTGACTGACAAAGGTCCGTCTAGTCAAAGCTATGGTTTCTCCAGTAGTCATGTATGGATGTGGGAGTTGGACTACAAAGAAAGCTGAGCACTGAAGATTGATGCTTTTGAACTGTGGTGTTGCAGAAGACTCATGAGAGTCCCTTGGACTGCAAGGAGATCCAACCAGTCAGTCAATCCTAAAGGAAATCAGTCCTGAATATTCATTGGAAGGACTGATGCTGAAGATCCAATACTTTGGCCACCTGATGTGAAGAACTGACTCATCAGAAAAGACCCTGATGCTGGGAAAGATTGAAGGCGGGAGGATAAGAGGACGACAGAGGATGAGATGGCTGGATGGCATTACTGACTCAATGGACCTAAGTGTGAGCAAGCTCTGGGAGTTGGTAATGGACAGGGAAGCCTGGCGTGCTGCAGTCCATGGGGTCACAGAGTCAGACATGACTGAACTGAACTGAACCTCTTTGAAATAAGAGCTTAAAGAGGACACAGTAAGACAACAAGGGGAGGTATAGAGCTGGACAAAATTCATGGAAGAAACAGAAAAGAGGAATTAGGCAAGAATGGATACCATACCAGAGGGGCTTCCCAGGTGGTGCTAGTGGTGAAGAATCCACCTGCCAATGCAGGAGGCATAAAAGATGTGCATTTGATTCCAGGGTTGGGAAGATCCCCTGGAGAAGGGAATGAAACCTGCTCCAGTATTCTTGCCTGGAGAATCTCATGGACAGAGGAGCCTGGCAGGCTACAGTCCATGGGGGTCACAAAGAGTCGGACACAACTGTAGCAACTTGGCACGCCAGCACCATACGAAACGACAACAACAGAAACAGAGACATGGATGAAAATTCAAGTCAGTCTTTGAAGGACAGGCTTCAGGAAACCATGGGGGCTGGTTCCAGGGTGAGCAGTTACCTTGCCCCTGTTTTCTGTGGACTTTCTGCAAAGAAGCCGAGGACAGCTATCAGAAGACACACTCTTCTCTGGTGCACGTGATGCAGCCATCCTGCTACTAGTAAAGAGGTCAGCCAAAGACAAGGCCACATACCAAGAGAGTCTCAGAGAAATGAACCCAGAACCTGGAAACACCAGGATCCTTCAACTCAAGCTGCACCTGGAGCCCGCCCTACCTTCACAATGTCCCCCTGTGTGACTTAATTCCTTTTGTCTTTAAACTCATTTTAATTAAGTTTTCCATTATCTACATTGAAAGCATCTTCATAGATTTTTTTTTAAACTACTAAAATAGAAAAAGGAGTTTTCATAATTTTAAAGTAACATATACCACAAAAACAAAAGAGAAACAGCTGAAAAATTATTCAAAACAATAGATGAATACAGCAAAATGACTTGTTATAAAGTTAACATCTCGAAAATCCAACATATAATTAACATTTTATGCGTGGTAGACACAATCTGGTGACTAATTCAAAATACACTCCCAAATCCCTTCTTCCTTATTACCTCCAGTGGAAGCACCAAACATACTAAATATGTACTCTGCATAACAGCGGTTCTTGTAGGCAGGAGTAGTCCTGTACACAGACAGATCTGGCCAATGAGAGAAACAGCATCTGGGAAAGCTTTTGCTTTATTAAACAAATAAAGTCAGATATGGCGAAGGACATATTGTTTCTCCCTCCCTCGACTGAGTGTCTTAAATGCAAATGTGATGCCTGAAGATAAAGCAGCCATTTTGTGTTCATGAGTGAAAAACATGAGAAGGCTCCAAAGAAACTTATCTTAGAAAAACTAGCAACTTGAGATGGGAGGGATTTACTTCAGTGAATTTTTTTTTTAACATATTGTATAACAAAAGCTGGTAAATAAAGTTGGGTTTGGGGGGTTTTTTGTTTGCTTTTTTTTTTTTTTTAATACAGGAGGAAAGGTTATTTGGGGCCACTTTTTTTTTTTAATACAGGAGGAAAGGTTATTTGGGGCCACTGAAAGTATTTAGGAGGTTTTAAA